AAAAACGGCCTTCGCCACCCCCAGGAGGCCCTCTGGAGGCCGGAAACGGCCCATTTCCCGACTTCCGGTGGGCCCAGAAGGCCCCAAAATTAGCTGGCCAGCGTGCACATGCGCGCTGGAGCTGAGCTAGGGCAACGCTCGCATGCCCACAGATCTGGCTCCACGTGCCATAGGTTCGCCATCACAGATATAGGGCCTCCTGCTTGAGCAGGGGGTGGACTAGAAGACCTCTGAGGTCCCTTCCGACTGTGTTATTGGTTTATTAGTCAGTGGGACGGTTTGCCTTCAGAAGTTGTGGGTGCTTCATCACTGGAGGTTTTTAAAAAGAGACTGGAGAGCCACTTGTCTGGATCGGTACGGGGTCTCCTGCTTAAGCAGGGGGTTGGACTAGAAGACCTCCAAGGTCCCTTCCGGCTCTCTTCCGATTAATGCTAGGAGGGGCAAACACCTTGAATGTTTTGTTTCTGCAACAACCCCATGGCAACGTCCCCCTAGCCTAAGAGGAAACTGTATTTTTAAAAGGCTGCGAAAGGCCACCGCTCTCCCGGCTCAGTTGTGGATTAATAAGGAAATGAATGTTCATCGCATTGTATGCAAACTTCATTCCTGCCCAATTGTCCACCTTCTCTTGAACCCACAGCAATCCAGGTGGGACGCCAGCAGGTGACAACAGCAAAGACCAAGGGTCACGGGATGGAGCTGTTGACCAGGTGTCTTCGAAGGGCAGGAGTGGCATCGTGCACCCCCAGAAATCCCCCTTCTCCTCCACGGAGAAGCCAAGTAGGATCCACACAGATCCCCCTCAAGAGCATTCCCAACAACCCTTCAACCCACCCACGTTCTCCCACAAGGCTAGAGAAGCAAGTTTGTTTTATTTGTTTGTTTTATTAGATTTATATACCGCCCTACTCCCGAAGGACTCAGGGAGGTGAACAGGCACACAATAAAACACATAAATGCAAAATTTAAAAGCAGAAATTAAACCATTTAGCCCGAGACAAATTTAAAACATCCCAATAATTTAAAAACAGATTTAAATTTTTCAATTTAAAAGAAAAGGGGGGGGGGGGAAAGGGTTAGGCCAGGCCAGCTTGCTGGAATAGGAAGGTCTTTAGAGCGCGACGGAAGGTGCGCAGATCCGGGGATCCTCCGTATCTCCGGGGGGAGCTTGTTCCAGATAGTGGGTGCCCCCACAGAGAAGGCCCTCCCCCTGGGGGCCGCCAGTCGACACTGTCTGGCCGACGACACCCGGAGGAGCCCCTCTCTATGGGAGCGTACCGGCCGATGGGGGGCTATTGGTGGTAGTAGGCAGTCCTGTAAGTCGGTGCCCACCTTACCACATCCCACTTCCAGACCTTTTGACCGTACTGACCCCTGACTTCCCCAAACCCCCCCTCCCCTGAAGCTCAAGACTTTCCACACATCCATCTCCACTCCTCAGGCCACCCAATTCCCATGGAGCCAGGGTCCTTCGCATCAGGGTCTCAATGGGGGTGGGGGGAAAGGAGAGGCAAGAAGCTTTTGCAATTTATGTCTTGGAAGGGAAGAGAGAGAGAAGAGAACCGATTCATCATCTTGAATTGCTAAAACTGCAGAGAAAGCAAAAAAAAGGAAGAAAAAAAATCAAACCCATTCCAGCACAGATTTATAGCCTAAGGAACTGCCCTGCTTAATTCCTTGCCGGGGGGGGGGGGGGGGGGGGAGGAGGAAGGGAGACGGAGCTGCACCCAAGCTGAAGTGGAATTTTTAGAAATGGCCCGGAAAAGCAACTCAGGAAGGACCACCGAGCCCCCCCACCCCACCCTTGCCCAATTTTCACAAGGGCCCTGCTCCCTCGACCATCGTGCCACCCCCCCTGCAGTCTGTTCTCCCCCCCTCTCTCTTCGCCCCGCGTGAAAGCATCCGTGCCAAAGGAAGGCTCACCATTTCACCGGCTTCCCTCCCATGTTCCGAATTTGGCTCTGCCCCAGAGCCCGTCTCCTGGCCAGCCTGGATCTTCACATGCCACATCCCTCCGCCAACCTTCTGTGCCACGGAGGTTGGCCAAAACCTTTCGGACCAGGTCAGGTCGATGATGTCCGGATTGGGACACGGAGTCGTGGCGAGCAGGAAGGATGCCGAAGTCGTCCGTCTCCCTCGCTTCTTCTTCGGAAGGGGAGTTGGAAACCCAGGCAGTCCCCGGGACGGCCGGCCCCGTGTTTCTCAGCTCAGCCGGGATGTTGTTTTGTTTTGCACTGTTGCGTTGCGGGTCTGACGCATGCCCAAATTCCTTTTGGCAGCCCCAAGAGAGAGAGAGAGAGGGAGACAGCCAGCAGTCTGTGTCTCCTTTCTCATCCCATCCTGGACAGCAGCCGATTCCCTTCTCAGCCGAGAGCCCCAATTGAGACGAAGGATCCAGGCCCCGGTGGGTCGCGTGGGGTGGCACGGAGCCAGCCCCCCACTCCCTGGCCCGAGGTGGGAATGCACACACCCGCAAAGTATGTGTATGCACACGTATGTGGTGTGTTGCTCTCTCTGCAGCTCTGCTGTCACTGGGGCTGTGCGAGGCAGCTGCGTTTCTCCCCGAGTTGTCTAAGCCGTGGACGATGGAGGGGAGGGAAAAGAGGGGAGGGAGGGAGGGAGCTGCCTGGGAAAAGCAGCAGGATTTGGCCAGGGCTGTTGTGAGTCACTCACGACCGCTGCCTTCCCTTCCCCTGGAAGGTTAACACCACCCAAAAAAATATTTACAAGCCACCCTGGGGAAGAGATGCCCTGTGCGTGCACACAGACAAACACACACCTTCATTGTGTCCCTGAGGTGCAAAGGATTTTTGCTCTGTGTGCCCACCTCCCCTGGGGGGGGGGAGGGAGGGGCGGAGGGGGAGGGGAGGGGAGCGGATCAAAGCCCCTGCACAGACCCTTCTGCATTTCAGACCTGCCCTTTCCAGGCGCTCCTTTGCCAGATTTGGGCTTATTTTCTCCTGGTGGGGGGGGCGGGGATGTGTGGGGGGAGAGGAGAAAGACGGGGATCGTTTGGGAGACTGAGGAGGGAGTGCGGCAGCTGCCAACTGCAGAGAGACACACGCACCAACCTGTTGTGTTTTATACAGCGACCCACAACGCATGCGAACGCAACGTCATTTGAGAAGCTGGGCGATGCTGGATGCAAAGCAGCGAAAATGGGCTTCACAGGACCACCACTTCCCACCCCCACCCCCAGACATCCCCTTAATCCTTGCTGGGAGCGGGGCTGGGGTGGGGGGAGGGCCGCACCCAAGCCGGTCAAAGCCCCCCCCCCCCCCATGTGATGCCCTGTCCGTGTTCTGCAGCTGGATAAAGGCAGCTCTGGGCTGGCAGGCATGAAATACGCTGCGCCTGGCAGTTATGCTCCATTCCTTATTCAGTGCTGGCAACAGCCTTCATTGCTAAGATACCCAACACACACACACACACACCAAAAATGCCAAAGAGATACAGCTGGACCAGACCGAGAGAAATGCTTCAAGGTGAAGGGAAGTGCAAAGAAAGACAGTTGGAAGAAACCTTAATCTTGCCATCCGAATGATTTTATGAGGATTGATATTGGGAGCTCTTGGATATTTACACCTCTGCCTGCCAAGAGAAGAGGAAGGGAGGGAGGAGGAGGAAGAGGAGGAGGAGGAGGAAGAAGAGGAGGAAGAGGAGAGGGAGGGGGGAGGAGGAAGAGGAGGAGGAGGAAGAGGAGGAGAAGGGGGGAGGAGGAGGAGGAAGAAGAGGAAGAGGAGGAGAGGGAGGGGGAGGAGGAAGAGGAAGAGGAGGGGGGGAGGAAGAGGAGGAAGAGCAGAAGGAAGATGGAGGAGGGGGAGGGGGAGGAGGAAGAAGAGGAAAAGGAAGAGGAGGAGGGGGAGGAGGAGGAGGAGGGAGGAGGAGGAAGAAGAGGAAGAGGAGGTGATGGTGATTTTTGGCGCTCTCTGAGGTTGATGTTGTTTTTTCTTGCAGACGTTTCATGACCCAACTAGGTAACATCATCAGCGGTAGAAGGGGGAAGGAGGAAGGGCTTTTCTTGCCAGAGTTGTTAAGTGAATCAATGCAGTTCTTAAATGAGTTGACTTCACTCGTCAGAAGGTGGCAAAAGGGAATCACGTGACCCCCGGGAACAATGCGACGGTCATAAATAGGAGTCAGTTGCCAAGAGTTTGAATTTTGGATCACGTGACATGGGGGATGCTGCAGGGGTCATAAGTGTGAAAAACGATCGTTGAGTCCCTGTTTTCAGTGCCATTGTAACTTCAGACAGTCGTTAAACGAATTGTCGTACTTGTACTTCTAAACAAAGAAATACATAAATTGCGGGTACTTTGTCGTCAACTTTCCTGCTGCTGCGTTAAGTGCGGAGGCAAGTTAATCCTGCGGACGGATTACAGCCAGTCAGACGGATTACAAAGGGAGAGATCCCGCTTAGCCACCCAGAGATCTACCGTAAGCTCATCAAGTTCTCAAATTCCTCCTTCGCGCTCCCCAGACACCAAGGGCCGAGTTCGTCCGTGCCCAAACAGGGCATCTTCTCCGCCTGGCAAAGGGTTTAGAATCGCGGCTGGTTTCAAAAACCTTCCATACATTATATTGCGCATACTTACTGCAGCAAGAATCGCATTCGCAAAAAAAAATGGAAAAAAAAAAAGTCTCCTCGGACGAAACGAGGAGAAAATTCTAGGAAAATTCTCGAATGCGCAGAGATGGATAAAATGACTGTGGGAGTTGAAAGAGAGAGAGGATTCGGAATATTATGAAATATGGAATAAAATGTACAGTTGGTTCGAAAACAGAAATCAGAACAAGAAACGTTTAACTTAATATTGATGAAACTTAAAAAGTAACTGAACAACATTAAATAAAGAGATGTAAATATAAACACATATAAAGGTGTAGATAAGAACAATGCATATTATAGAATATTATAGAATATTATAGATATTATGACGGGACAAAGAGACCCCTTTGCAATGGACACAAGATAGCTGTGAATACTCCAACACTGGAAGATTTTAAATAAGATGTTGGACAACCATTTGTCTGAAGTGGTGTAGAGTTTCCTGCCTAAGCAGGGGGTTGGACTAGATGTCCTCCAAGGTCCCTTCCAACTCGGTTATTCTATTGTATTCAGGTAGCAAGAAACGTTCCTGGGATACTGGCCAGGTTCAGGAGAGAACGGAGGAAGGGAAGAGCTGCCAATTAGAGCAGCCGAGCGACCGGTGGGGGGCAAATTGTAATTATCCAACCTGGATGGGAGCCAGGAGGCTGGACCACTCCCTTTAATTCCTGTGAAATGCAGCGTGCCCTATTTTTAATGAGCTCCTGTGCAGGGAACGGCCGGCCTCTCGGTCTCCTCTGAAGGGGAGAAGTGTCAAGGCAGCCCCTCTTTAGCCCAGGGGTCCTAAATGAACTCAAGAGCTTTCTTCATGATCCCAGGATCTGATTTCCAAGGAGAACTACTAATTACTCAGGCAGCTGCAGAGTAGAGGCCAGGTCCCTGTATAGCAGGGGTCTCCAACATTGGCAACTTTAAGTCTTGTGGACTTCAACTCCCAGAATTCCTTAGCTAGGAGTCTCCAACCCTGGCAACTTTAAGACTTGTAGACTTCAACTCCCAGAATTCCTTAGCTAGGAGTCTCCAACCCTGGCAACTTTAAGACTTGTAGATTTCAACTCCCAGAATTCCTTAGCTAGGAGTCTCCAACCTTGGCAACTTTAAGACTTGTAGACTTCAACTCCCAGAATTCCTTAGCTAGGAGTCTCCAACCTTGGCAACTTTAAGACTTGTAGACTTCAACTCCCAGAATTCCTTAGCTAGGAGTCTCCAACCTTGGCAACTTTAAGACTTGTAGACTTCAACTCCCAGAATTCCTTAGCTAGGAGTCTCCAACCCTGGCAACTTTAAGACTTGTAGACTTCAACTCCCAGAATTCCTTAGCTAGGAGTCTCCAACCTTGGCAACTTTAAGACTTGTAGACTTCAACTCCCAGAATTCCTTAGCTAGGAGTTCTCCAACCTTGGCAACTTTAAGACTTGTAGACTTCAACTCCCAGAAGTCCACAAGTCTTAAAATTGCCAAGGTTGGAGACCTCTGCTTTATAGCCCCCTTGATGGGGCCTTCGTAGCAAAAAGCCACAATTACACCCTAATTACACATCCTGCCATCTCCTGTGCCAGAGGTCCCTCTCTCTGTCTCTCTCTCTCTCACATCCTTGACGCAATTCTCCATTTTTTTCATCCCACGTCTGCCAAACCCACAGCCGCAAAAGCAAAACCATTCTTACACAAAGGTGGGTTTTACTCACTAGCCCGCCTATCCCAAAGCAACTGCTTATAAAGTTGGCGAGGAATTCTTATTTTTCTATCCTTGCAGGGATGATGAGAATTTTGGGGAAAGGGATGGAACATTTACAAAACCTGGGAAGGGCCAAAGCCACATTAGACGGAGGCCAAGAGGTGCTCCGGGCTGGCGAAAGGCTGAAAATGAGCCCATACTGCAGGATGAACGGTGACTAAAAGCCCGGGGGGGGTTTCCATAACAGCAACAAAACCTGGTTTTCCTCCTCACAACTCCATTTTTATCAAATTGGGTTAGTTAGAAAAGATGCAACCAGTCCTCTCCTCGCTTTTTCCCAGGGGTGAAACCCAGCAGGTTCTGACAGGTTGTGGAGAACCGGTAGCGGAAATTTTGAGTAGTTCGGAGAACCAGCAAATACCACCTCCGGCTGGCCCCAGAGTAGGGTGGGAATGGAGATTTTGCAATATCCTTCCCCCAGGAGTGGGGTGGGAATGGAGATTTCGCAATATCCTTCCTTTAGGAGTGGGGTGGGAATGGGGATTTTGCAGTATCCTTCCTCCAGGAGTGGGGTGGGAATGGGGATTTTGCAATATCCTTCCTTTAGGAGTGGGGTGGAAATGGAGATTTTGTAATATCCTTCCTTTAGGAGTGGGGTGGGAATGGGGATTTTCCAGTATCCTTCCTCCAGGAATGGGGTGTGATGGAGATTTTGCAGTATCCTTCCTCCAGGAGTGTGGGTGGGAATGTGGATTTTGCAGTATCCTTCCTCCAGGAATGGGGTGGGAATGTGGGATTTTGCAATATCCTTCCCCCAGGAGTGGGGTGGGAATGGGGATTTTGCAGTATCCTTCCTCCAGGAGTGGGGTGGGAATGGAGATTTTGCAATATCCTTCCTTTAGGAGTGGGGTGTGAATGGAGATTTTGCGGTATCCTTCCTCCAGGAATGGGGTGGGAATGTGGATTTTGCAATATCCTTCCCCCAGGAGTGGGGTGGGAATGGGGATTGTGCAGTATCCTTCCCCTGCCACGCCCACCAAGCCACGCCCACAGAACCGGTAGTTTAAAAAATTGGATTTCACCACTGCTTTTTCCCCCCGTTTCATGTTTCCCAGAGCAAAAAGTCAGTTGTAGGAACTCTTCTCAGAACCTGCTGGTGAATTATAAATGCCCCCCCCCAAAAAAAGACCCCCAAGGAACCCACGCATTATGGAAAGCCAGAAGTGGCACCTAGCGAAAAGTTATTTGGATCCCTGAACGCAGGGAGACGAACAGAGCATGCAAACTGGGAAACCGTCTCGGTTCCGAAGACAGGACTGAACAAGGATTTCAACAAGGGCATCCCGACAAAACGACAAAGGTGAGTGCCGGCAGGCAGAAACCATGAGGACTGCCCGCCCTGAAATTGACCCGACCGAAGCCATTTTGAAGCTTCAGTGTTGTCACACTGGAGCTCAGGGATAGGGAGGGGGCAATAGTGATAGCTGGGGTTTTGTAGCCAAAACAAAAGGCTTCCTCCTGGGAACCAAGGTCACTCCCACTCCTGTGGACTTACTCCAGGTTCTGTTGTGGCTCCGTTGCCTGAGTCTGGGCTATCGACAGATGCAGACTCTGAGAGTGAGGGAGAGGAGTTGGCAAGGCCTCCCTCTCCAGGACCCTCCTCTCTGGCAATGCCTCCGGAGGACACCAAAGGCCAAACGATAGGCTCAGAGCCAAGCACGTCCCCGCAGCCACAGGTGGACAGCGACGAAGGAGATAAGTGCTGGCTGGACCCTCGGCAGAGGCGCAGGGAGAAGTGTGCGCAGCAGAGGGGAAGGCGTGCCAGAGATTAGCTGAGTCACTGGACCACACCCCACAGGGTATAAATGTGGGTGTGGTGGCCGGTTCAGTTTGTGACGAGCAAAAACTGGAAATACCCCATGATCTCTGTGTTACTGGACTTTGCCTGCTTTATCGGATTGCATTTGGATTAATCCTTGTATTGTTGAAACTCTGCCTGTTTTATCGGAATGCTGGCAGTCTAATCTTTGTTTTGTGTGAGTAAAGTCTGAATTGGCAGCTAGCCACTGGGTCGCTGCCAGCTTTATCTTCAAAGAGTTTTGTCGTGTGGCTTATTAACTCCGGGCCGTCTGTGGGGGTGCGTGTGGGGTACGGGGATAGAACAGGTTCCTAGGGGTGACGAAGGAGTGAGTAGAGGAAGGGGAGCATCTCTTACCTGGAGAAAGAGGACTCTGAAGGGCCACTGCTCTGCTGGCCTTCGTACTGCTGGACGAGCGCTCGGACACTCCAGTGCGGCCGCTCAATCTCTCCGTGCAGCTGGCTGTTTCTAGAGAGAAGGACGGCACCGTCAGGAGGGAAGGCCAGAGCGCCCCAAAAAGAGAGAGACAAAATGCTTTCCCCTCTGCATCCTTTCCTCTCCATCCGGTGGTTGGTTTTCAAAAGTGCTTTACAGCTCTCTCTGAGCAGTTTAAAGAGTCAGCCTCTTGCCCCCCAACAATCTGGGTCCTCATTTTACCCACCACGGAAGGATGGGGGGCTGAGTCAACCTTGAGCCAGTCAGGATCGATCTCCTGGGAATTGGCAGATTTAGCCTGAAATACTGCATTCTAACCATAGGGAGGGTGGGAGGGAGGGAAAAAGGAAGGAAGGAAGGAAGGAAGGAAGGAAGGAAGGAAGGAAGGAAGGAAGGAAGGAAGGAAGGAAGGAAGGAAGGAAGGAATAGCCCTTAAGACTCATAGACCGCTTCACAGTGCTTTTACAGCCCTCTCTAAGCGGTTTACAGAGTCAGCCTCTTGCCCCCCAACAATCTGGGTCCTCATTTTACCCACCTTGGAAGGATGGAAGGCTGAGTCAACCTTGAGCCAGTGAAATTCAAACTACCAAATTGCAGGCAGCCGGCAGTCAGCAGAAGGAGCCTGCAGTACCACACTCTAACCACTGCGCCACCACGGCTCCAATATATGACCCCCGGAGGCTGCAATGATCATAAATAGGGTGTTTAGCACCCAAATTTTCACCATGTAACCGTTGTAGGGATGGTGAACTGGTCATCGGTCACTTTTTTCAATGCCACTGTAGCTTCAAACGGTCACTAAGTGAATGGTTCTAAGCCAAGAACTACTTGTAAATATCGAAGTGTCGTTTTTGCTGCAGATCACGTACCTGGGGTGAGGCTGGAAGGCATCACGGCCCACTCCCGAGACATCCTGGCGGACCTCTGCCAGGGCGGCCACCGCCTCCTGGGCAACAGCTACGGCCGAGCGAGACCTGTGATGGGCCAGCAAGATTCTGCTTCCCCCCTGGATCTCTTCCACGGTTCCTGGTGAAGCGATTTTGCCGGATCCAGGCTTAAAGTGAGCGGCCAGCGCAAGGACCAGCCTCATGATGCATTTCAGATTCCCGTCCACGATATCTAGAAGACACAAATATGCCAAAATGGTCGTGAGCTGATCAAGGGAAGCTGTTCTGCCCCAGCTACGGATCCCAAAGAACGCAGCACGCACAAAGTTTGTACAAAACTTAATTTACTAAAATAACTCAGTCTTTTTCAAAACAAAGGCTGTTAATAAACTTTCTTAACGGCCTACAAGAAACCAAAGATAAAGTAATCACAATCTTACTAAGGTTGGCAGAAAGCCCAGAAGCAATTTGCAGAGAATCCAGACGCGAAGGAGAGTGAGCTAAAGTTGTTCCCTACAAATTGCTTCAGTCGGCGTTCCTCCTTAAATTCCTCCTTAAGTCAGTGGCCTGTGCAGCTAGTAGCTGATTCAGACAGCGAGGAGGCTGGTGTGGTGCTGCACCAGCAGCCTGTGCAGCTGGCACTCGAGTCGGACAATGAGGAGGCTGGAGAAGATGTGGTGCCAGAGGCAGGGATTCAGCCAGGGCCTTCAGAACCTCCAGAAGCTCCCATAAGTGAAGAGGAAGAAGAGGAGGAGCCTCTTCTCGATGCACGGACGCGCAGAGCTGCCAAAAGGCAGGAGTGGCTCCTCAGGAGGAGGTCTCCTTGAGAGTAAGGCTTGGAGCTAATTGGCCACTCCCTTAGCCTATTTAAGGAGGAACGCCGACTGCAGCAATTTGCAGAGAACAACTCCGTTCACATACCTTCGTGTCTTGTCTTGCTTATCTTATCAGCTTCCTGCAAATTGCTTCTGGGCATTCTGCCAACCACAGTAAGCTTTCGGTTATTATTCTTTGAATTCTTGGCGGCTGTTAATGCAATTAATTAACAGCCGTTGTTGTAAAAAACTGGTTTATTCAATAAACTTTGTGAACGGTATTTGTGTGTCGCTGCGTTCTTTGGGGTCCGCAGCTGGGGCAGAACAGGACTGGAATACCCAGGCCCTTCAAGGTTAACAGTTGAGGTTGAGGTTCACCTTTAGCCGAGGTCTGGTGCATGCGGATCTTCTTGGACGCCACGAATTGTAGGACTTTTTCCACGTTCTCCTTCATGGCCTGCTGGTTGGTGGGCGACTCCTCCACGGCACTGAGTTTCTCTCCAGCTGCAAGAGAGGAGGAGCAGCCAAATTTTAGGGCAACTCTTAACCCTGCAGGTATGGAGTCTGGCAGGACGACAATGGTCAACCTCCCCACCCCCTTCCTTGGCCTAAGGATGCCACTGTGAATATATAAAATATATTTTGTTCTCTTCTTGGAGCATCAAAAAGCTACTACAGGTAATCCTCGACTTACAACGGTCCATTTAGTGACCGTTCGAAGTTACAACAGCCACTGAAAAAAATTGACTTATGACCGTTTTTCACACTTACGACCGTGGCAGCGTTCCCCACGGTCACGTGATCCCAAAATTCAGTCGCCGTGTCCCCGGGATCACGTGATCCCCTTTTGCGACCTCCCGACAAGCAAAGTCAATGGGGAGAACCAGATCCACTTAAACAACCGTACTACTGACTTAACAACCGCAGCGACTCACTTAACAACCGTGGCAAGAAAGGTTGTAAAATGGGGCAAAACCCGCTTGAGAAATGTCTCACTTAACCACAGAATTTCTGGGGCTCAGCTGTGGCCGTTAAGTCGAGGACTGCCAGTACAGTCTTGAACCTGGTGGCTCAGCAGACTGATAGCATTGTGATTAACACCAGCTGCCTGCAATTACTGTAAGTTCGAATCTCACCAGGCTCAAGGTCGACTCAGCCTTCCATCCTTTCCAAGGTAGGTAAATTGAGGACCCAGTTTGTGGGGGCAATAAGCTGACTTTATGAAGGCTATTGCTTAACGCATTGTAAGCCGCCCTGAATCTCCGGAGAAGGGTGGCATATAAATAAATAAAATAAATAAATAAATAATTTTATTTCTATACCACCCTTATAATAATAAAAAAAAAAACCTTCAACTCCCAGAATTCCCCCGTTTAAGTGAAATGTAAGTATGGCAAACAGGCGGGAGGGGAACGGTGATCTCCGGCACCATTTCTCTGCTCCTCCCTCTTAATCCAGGTTAAATCCAGGACTCTGAGCCCCGAAAACCATCCCAAAGTCTTTGCAAGGAGGCTACTCACCTACGATCTCAATGAGAGAGGCGAGGACCACGCCATCGCGGAGGTCGCGTCTCAAATCCTGCACCTGTTGAACTTCTGGCTTCTTCTTTAGCTGTGAATTCACCCAGGTGATGTAGGACTGCAGCTGTTGCTGGAAAAAAGAAAGGAAGGAAGGAAGGAAGGAGGCCACCGTTACACTTCACTGAATGTAATGAAAGTATTAGCTTCTCCACCCATCCATCCATCCATCCATCCATCTATCGAAAGCCCTACTAAGCAAGGTATATACAAAAGTATGAAGGCTATTGCTTAACGCATTGTAAACCGCCCTGAGTCTCTGGAGAAGGGCGGCATATAAATCGAATCAATCAATCAATCAATCAATCAATCAATAACTACAGTAGTGGCCAAAATTGTGGAAACCTTTTGGGAAAAGTGCATTTGTGAGATTTGATGGCTAATAACATCACTTTTTCTTTTGGAGTTGCAAGATTATCCTATTATATTGATTTTTTTTTTTTATTTGATTTATATGCCGCCCTTCTCCGGAGACTCAGGGGGTCTTACAATGTGCTCAGCAATAGCCTTCATCCTTTTGTATATTTATACAAAGTCAGCTTATTGCCCCCACAATCTGGGTCCTCAATTTACCTACCTTAGAAAGGATGGAAGGCTGAGTCAACCTTGAGCCTGGTGAGATTCGAACCTGCAGTAATTGCAGGCAGCTGTGTTAATAACAGGGTGCTTTAAACCACTGTACTACCAAGGCTCTTATTGATTGATTTATTGATTTAGCTGCCAGCTGCCTGCAATTAGTGCAAGTTCAAATCTCACCAGGCTCAAGGTTGAGTCAAGCCTTCCATCCTTCTGAGATAGGTAAATTGAGGACCCGGATTGTGTGGGCAATAAACTGTCTTTGTAGAAACATCGCTTATGGTGGGGGGCCAAAAGCCCTAATAATCAGGTATATACAAAAGAATGAAGGCTATTGCTATAAGTTTATTGTAAGCCGCCCTGAGTCTTCGGAGAAGGGCGGCATATGAATTGAACAAACAAACAAACAAACAAACAAACAAACAAACAAATAAATAAATAATATCAGTACCGTCCACCTGTGGCTTTACTCCTGAGTCGGCCCTTGTTCCTTAGCTGTTCCCTTCTCCTGGCAGCTCTGCATATGCGCAGACTGGGAACAGGCTCCAGCTGTTCCTCTACCTCACTGATGTCCGACTCCGAAGGCAGCTGACAACTGTCAGACGGCCCTGGCTCCCTCTCTGCCTCCGACGCAGAGCCCTCATCCGAGCCTTCCCCAGACTCCAGGACTGGCCCATCTTCCTCCCCAACCTCCTCACTGTTTGAATCTGCTGCCAGCTCTGCTGACCGCTGGCGGGCCACAACAGGAACTGCCGTAAGTCAAGGACTGCCTGCACACCCCCAAATCCCTCTTTTTAAAAAGCCACTGCCTTCCTCTTTTAAAGGGGCTGCCCCACTGATCACATCCAGGTCTGGACGTGGACTTTCATGAACAGTTTGAAACTCTTCAGGGAATTTCCCACAGAACTTTGTGGCTTATTATGCTCGCGGAAAACTCTCTTACGGGATGTTTTATTTTGCCAGACTGAACGGAGATTTTAAAGGAGCCTTGGTAGTACAGTGGTTTAATGCACCCTGTAATTAACACAGCTGCCTGCAATTTCTGCAGGTTCGAATCTCACCAGGCTCAAGGTTGACTCAGCCTTCCATCCTTTCTAAGGTAGGTAAAATGAGGACCCAGATTGTGGGGGCAATAAGCTGACTTTGTATAAATATACAAAAGGATGAAGGCTATTGCTTAACGCTTTGTAAGCCGCCCTGAGTCTCCGGAGAAGGACGGCATATAAATTAAAGCAAAAAAAAAAAATTCCTCCCAAACGAGAAAAACAAAAACAAAAAAAAACTCAGAGAAAGGAGCTATCTGTCACCCGTGATAGCTGAAGGATTTAACAAGCGGCAGAAATAATAAGGCATTAAAATTTCATGGAAAGGAAGAACAGCAGAGGGACGGTTAAATGCACAGAAAGCAGAAAACTACCCAAAAATAAATAAATAAAAAGATTTCTGAGATGTGAAAAGGAAGAGAATTTAGGGCAAATTGCTTCTTTATTTATAACTTCTCCCGCACGTCTCGAATTGTGTTAATATAGCGGAAAAAGTGCTTCCCCATAACGCTCCCTGGAGCAGAATGGAAGGCTGGCTGGATCTTGATTGAAAATAAACGTATCTTGCATTCTGTAAGCATCGATGCTCTCTTCCCCTCCCAGGTTCTCTCACCACGAGAAAGTGAAGAAAGAAAAGATGCCCACACACGGCTGCGTTTTCCCAAGATTGCTCGGGTTCTCACATTGGCGAAAGAGGAAAATGCCGCAGTTCGGGTTTTCAAAAATCATGGCCATGCCTTCGCAAACTGATGCGCAACTGCGGATTTCACACTTATTTCCACATCGCTTGTTGAATAAAAGTTCCAGTATTGTCTAAAGAGGGGAAGGTCTCAACTCCTATAGCAAGAGGGTCAACGGGCCTTAAATTACGACTTAAGACCACA